GGGGGTGTGACCTCCCCTGGGCTGGGGGGGTTGGATGGGCCGGGATGGGGGGGTTGGATTGGGCTGATCCGTGCCAGGGCTGGGTTTGTCTGGTTCAGTTCGTTGGGTCTTGTTAGAAATGAAATGTAGTGTTGAATTTGCATTCTAGTGTTAGAAACAGTGTCGGGCTTGGTTTATATCTATCTATCTATCTATCTATCTATCTATCTATCTATCTATCTATCTATCTATCTATCTATCTATCTATCTATCTATCTATCTTTATATCGCTATCTATCTATATCTATCTATCTATCTCTATATGTCTATATCTATATATCTATATCTATATCTATCTATATATCTATCTATCTATATCTATCCATATCTATCTATATCTATCTATCTATCTATCTATCTATCTATCTATCTATCTATCTATCTATCTATCTATCTATCTATCTATCTATCTATCTCTATCTATCTATATCTATATCTATGGCTATCTATTTATAGCTATCTATCTATAGCTATCTATATCACCCTATAGCTATCTATTTATAGCTATCTATCTATATCTATATCTATCTATCTATGGCTATCTATTTATAGCTATCTATTTATAGCTATCTATCTATATCTATATCTATCTATCTATAGCTATCTATGTGTCTATCTGTCTATCTATCTATCTATCTATCTATCTATCTATCTATCTATATCTCTATCTATCTACCTCTCCTAGTGTTAGAAATTTATAGTTTGTTTGAGATAAGTGAGGTCTCTGACACCAGGAGTGGTTTAAATATCTAGTTAGTTTGAGGTAAGTGAGATACCTGCACATTCCAAGGACACCAGGAGGGGTTTATGGCCCGAGAAACTGAGGGAGAGAATTGGGCTCCATCTGGGGATCCCAGCATGGAGCAGGATTTGTGGCCCAAGATAAGACCCAACAAAGCCACTTCTATATTGCTCCTCAGGGCAGGATGACACCAGTGGGTTTGTTAATTGGGGAGACAACCCAAGGGGCAAGAAAGGTGAAAATTTTACCCTAAAAGGTAAAAAGTAACCTGCTAGAATGGAATGTGTGAACAGGGGCGGGAAACAGGATCATCTGAAGTGTGGGATGGGCTATGAGCCCTGGAGTGCCCAGCCAGTGGGGAAACAGGGGAGGGAACTTTGGGAATAGGGAATATAACCCGTTATTCACCTGCCTGTGGGTGCACCTACTTGTTTAGGACACCCATTCTTGCAAGAATGTAAATAAACTGCTTCCTTGAAGGCTCTGTGGGGGCCTGTTCATTGGCGTGACAAACATTTCTCACAAGAAGGGAACAGCAGCTTCCATGGCCTCATCCAGGCTCAGGGACAGCACGACCAGCCTGGCTCCACACCTGCCAGCTCCACCAGGAGCTGCAGGCAGCCCAGCTGCTCCCCCCTGCTCACAGACCACCCCCCAGAGCCCCCAGACCCCCCAGCAGCCGCCGGGCAGGCAGGACCAGCTCAGCTGCAGCCGGGGAGGTGACACGCGACCTGCCCTGCCTGCCGCCCGCCTTTGTTTGCAGGGGGATTTGATACCGGCCCCATGAATTCTTCATTCCAAACCGTGGAACTGGAGCTGCTGCCCTGGGTGGGAGGTTTCTGGCTGTGTGTTGTGCG